AATAATTATTATTTACTCTCTAATTTTCAGCAGATGATCTTACTCATCAAGGGCCATTTTGTACCTTGATGAGTAATACGCATACAAAATACTAAATTGTTTCATTACATATTTTATGTCTGAACCTTTGTCTTTGACATTGCAACAAAATAGGTTTGGGTGCATGGGGTAAAAAATTTTTCTGGCATTCCACCGGTGGGGTAGCTAGAAATTTTGTTTCGAAAAAGGTGGGGGTAATGATTTTATCCGGCTTCATTATACTTTCTCTTCGGCCCCCACCCCTGCCATAAATAATGACCGGTCCCTAATCACATATTAAACTCTGATAGTAGTATATATTGTATTGTGTGTGATTAAAGTAAGGTTATTTTATTTTTTTACCCCACCTCTGCATGCAAGGATTTTTTGGCCACCCCACCTAAAGCAAGTACTATTTTTCAGTTACCCCACCATTTTCTCTTCGGCCCCCACCCCTGCCATAAATAATGACCGGTCCCTAATAGGTTTTGTTTGTGGAAACACCACGTCAATTTATTACTGCAAAGCTTTCGATCCGTAAGCCCGGATCTTCATCAGTGCTAATAATATGTGACTTGTTTAATTCACACGCTCTTTTTTATATACAAAAGTGTCGTGATCTGTTGGCTCGCGTCATTTGAAATTTAATTAAACGGCACATCAACCACGTCATTCCAAACGTAGTGAAGTGATTCCAATTAACGCGCGCGGATCCAAGACAAGAGAAATTAATTTTGCACATTAAAGAGAGCACGCCACGTACTATCTAGTGGCTTTCCCTCCTGATCTATAGTATTGTGCTTCTCAATTTCAAATTCACCTTGGAATACTGGAGGAGGGGTCCGTGTCTCCTTATTTCCCCTCTCTGAGGCTGGGAGGAAAAAACCAAGTTCCAGTTTTGATCGGAAATGTTGCACTTAGGATGGTTTTTGTGGCGATTGGGGGGGGCGGTCGCTCCCCCTCACCCCCCTAGACTACACCACTGCTTATGATTCCGCGAGTTGAAACCCAACTTCTTACTTGATTCTGCTGGACCAACGAACATAGTATATATTATATATTATAAGTGACCGCATTTAATATTGAGGGTAGTTGAAAAGGATGGCTTTTTTCTGAGAGGTAATTGTGTCAGAGAAAATAGATATTCCAATTTTAGCACTCTACTTGAAAAAAGCACCATTATAGTTGCACTAAAGTTTTTAATTGCAGCGACACCAAGGCTATCGCAAAACAAAGCTCTAAGATTGAAAAGATGAAAGTCTTTATTATACTGAATTACCACTTTATCAGCTAACTAAATCAGCATGCTGTTTGGACAAAATAAATCTCAGACAAAACTGGCAGCGAACACCTTTTGCTCAATATGAACTTCGCATACCGAAAATTATTTAATAAAGGTCTCGGTATGCTAGTGTTAACACTTACCTCAACCTTGATAATTCTGGATATCACAGCAACTTTATCCAATATACTGTTTATCAATATACGACGCACTATACCGTCGCAAATATTTATAATTGCAATTAAATTCGTCTGAATTAAGCTAGAGTACAACACTGTACAAATGCTGCATTCTGAATAAGTGATACAGAATTCAACTTACGAAACAGACAGTATCTTATTAGCTATAACTAACATATTATACTTACTAACTTACTAACTCTTTAAAAAATATATAGGGTTATTCTAATATATAGGGTTATTCTACACTTGTACAGCTATCATGCACAGTTGGATCCATGCATGCTCTATCAAGATAATTTTCGGCTAATCAGGATTGAGAAGAGAAGTACTCAAGTACAGTATATGTATTTTTACTCACCGAATTTATAAATTTTATCAACACACTGTTTTCTTTTTTTCTTTGAGAGCACCTATCAGGTGGACAGCTAAAGCATAACTGCAGTTTTCTCTTTGATGTGCGCATTATAACTGCGACATCATTAACAATTCAGATTGATGAGTGTGAAGGAAAATTTAGCTTTCATTGATTGTCCTATTGTCACGTTCATGCAGTATAGGTGGTCTATCAAGTTCATGCACGTTCGTGCACGTTATGGTGAAGAAGTCATCGCTCAGGGACGTTGATCCTAGACGATATTTGACATGACCTCGATTTGAAGGTTGGATGCTTTCACAAAAATACAATCTATTGAAACGTAGTAAATTTGTCATTGAGTTTGGCTAGCAAGCTCAGACTGAATCTTTGATCACTAACGCTGTTTTTCAGTCTTTTATAGAAAAATGGTCTGATTAACCTGCGAAGTCGGCAGTGGCGCAGCTAGCCACAGCAACAGGTCATGCTATGCACATGTTTAATGATTTGCATTATTCAAACCTTTAGGAAATGTATTGTCTTTAACCTATGTTACTGAGATGCAGGTTTATAAGTATAGCATGCACATGACCACTTGTTATGACTAGCTTTGCGACTGGAAGTCGGAACTGGAGTTGGTAAAATATAAATCCTTTCTTACACTGCAAAAAATCCATTTTTCGCTTGAGTTATTTTAACACATAAATTTGCGTGAAATGCGCAATGTTTACTCAGTTTTAAGAGTATTTTTACTCGAATATGCTGAGTATAACTTCAAACTCAAACACCTGAGTAAACTATTTTGAGTAAACCACTATCGTTTACGCAGTTATAATCGGTAAAATTACTCATTTGAGTAAGTTGCTTCATATTTACTCGTTATTCTCGAGTAGAATCGATGTTTTACGTACTCTAACACTGAGTTAATATGCTTTCCAGACTGATCGAGTTACTATACTTTATTATACTTCACGAATCACGAGAGCGGTGCAAAATAGATAGTTATATATGATAATGTAAAGTTGTGTACGCAATTTAGTTGTTTGTGCAAGTGACATCATGACTCGTGAGTAATGTAAGCAATAAGATAATGCTGAAACGCGCCCTTTTGGCAGCCAAGCAAGGAAACCTTAAAACGCATTATGTGTGGGTCCGTGTGTTATTGTATAAAAGGGCTGTAAGTTGTAAATGCATTCAGATCACTAGATCAGTAGAGAATAGAATTGGGATTAGATTAATCGCTGGAATTAGTTAGCATTGTCCAATTTAAGTACTACAACTAAACTCTAACCAAATTGCAAATTTCGACACGTTATAATGCCGTTTCCTGACCATCATATTTCTGTCAAACCTCCCACCTCCCAAAGTCCAGGAAATGGCATTTCAGAGACCTAAATTAAAAAATTTTCCGAGGGGGCATGCCCCCGGACCCCCCTAGAGAAACCTCGCACCTGCGGCGCTCGGCTCGTGCCTTCGGCCCTCGTTTATCAAGCGTTACAATATAGGGGCGCATATTAGTCTATACCTCACTGCCCCCCCCCCAGAAAATAGTACTCAGCACGCCACTGTTATCATATATACATAATATGTTCGTTGTATATTTTGGAAGTACTCAGTGATTGCATGCTGTGGACGATCATTTAAAATTAAGTGATTAAATTTTAATTTCATTTTCTTTGAGAGTGATATCTGATTATTTGGTGATGATTTTGCGCCATTTATATATAAAGATTCAGAAAGAAAATAATTATATTTATATGTTTTGTTAATTCCAACTAGTTTTGTTAATTTCAACTAGTGCTATTTTGGTGGGTATATTTTTTCCAAGAGACTGGTGGATTTCAAAAAAGTTGCCTTTTCAATTAAGTGGAACACACACACAGAAGCATACAACTTGGATTACCACCCAGTCAAAGTGTTAACAATCATTAACACTTTCAGAAATACCATATGCACGGTTGAAATGAGTGTTGACAGTTGCGTAGGTGATTTTAGAGTGTCCCTATATGCCGTGTGTCGTGGGTTAAACGTCGTGTGTAAAGTCGTGAGTAAAGTCGTGAGTAAAGTCGTGGGTAAAGTCGTGGGTCATAAAATGTGCTAAAAACGCATTTTTTCACGAAAATATTATTTTTATTTTTAATATTTTTTTCGTACTTTTTCCTTTTATGCGCTTCATAAATACAGAAAAATTTAACGCAACAAATCTCCAGTAATAAAATAATGTGTACGTTATCTCGAGCTCTAGTATAACAAGTAAACGTTCCATTTCGTATAGTCTAATAGTAATAAAATCTATAGATGTATCAGTTTGATGATAAAATATCTTAAGTTATACGGTGTAGGTTTATTAGCTTCGAAAGTGTTATAGTCCTATCACGAACGTCGCGAATCGTACTGACTATGTCGATTGCACATGTTCAGATACAAACATATTGGGCTATAAATTCTACGCAGTGTAATTAATCAGTAAGTGGCTATTACGCTCGAGCCTCAAATTCAGTTTTGCCATTTTATATCCTACTGAGTAGCCTATAGACACTGAACATTTCATGTGTATGTGGCTTTAGGAAATATTCCATAAATTGCTACGATTTGGGATGATTTCCCGATTGAAAACCGAAATGATTTGTGCGATGCCGGGCTATTTGCCGACAAAGCGCGCTAGCCGCTATTATTTTGACAGAATATGATATAGGCCTACCTCTACACTTTTCAGCCGTAGCCTACATATAAATGTGCGCATTGTAATCATATACATATCGTTTAATTTAGCTTCAAAAACTTGATAAAAAAAACATGTTATTCGTGTTCGTTCTGGAGCGCAATGGTGTGATCCGCGTTGCCAGAGCACATGCAAAGCCGCCTCGGTAGCCTATATATCATGTATGACATGTAATGGAAAATTTCAGTCTAATAAAGTCAACTTCTTTTCTTTGATAATGTGCGCAACAATGCAACATGCTGTGCATTTTACATTTAACAAAATACAGCAATTTTGATTTTATCAAGTTTTTGAAGCCGTAAATTAAACGATATGTATATTGATTACTATGCGCGCATTATGTATTACGGCTGAAAAGTGTAGAGGTATCATATTCTTTCAAAACAAAAGCGGCTAGCACGTTCGGTCGGCAAATAGCCCAACATCGCACAAATCTCGGTACTGGAGATTTGGTGCGTTATTGTACTTTGAATGGCTTTAGCAACCATAATTTTTCTATAAAATATGGTTGCTAAAGCCATTCAAAATACAATAACGCACCAAAGCTACGTTAGCCCATCAATATTACGTTCACCGCTCAACATGGTCCGATATCAAACTTTACGTACGTAGCGTGCCGACGAGAAACCCCTACTCTACTTGCCAGTGAAAATCTTGTGGATTGTGTTATGTCATGTAGGTAAACTAAACGCATGTAATATTCCGGTCCGGTGACCGCATCGTATGGAATAAATTTCGTGCGTAATAATTGGGTTAGGATAAAACGCGGATACGGACGGACGGATGGATGGCGGACGGACGGACGGACGGATGAGTGGCGGACGGACGGACGGATGGCTTCCAAAAAACGTTTTTCAGCCCTTTTTAAGTCATATCCGCGTTTTATCCTTTTGGATAAAACGCGGATATGGTCCAAAAAACGTTTTTCAGCCCTTTTTAAGTCATATCCGCGTTTTATCCAAAATGATAAAACGCGGATATGGTCCAGAAAACGTTTTTCAGCCCTTTTTAAGTCATATCCGCGTTTTATCCAAAAGGATAAAACGCGGATATGGTCCAAAAAACGTTTTTCAGCCCTTTTTAAGTCATATCCGCGTTTTATCCAAAAGGATAAAACGCGGATATGGTCCAAAAAACGTTTTTCAGCCCTTTTTTAAGTCATATCCGCGTTTTATCCAAAAGGATAAAAGGCGGATATGGTCCAAAAAACGTTTTTCAGCCCTTTTTAAGTCATATCCGCGTTTTATCCAAAAGGATAAAACGCGGATATGGTCCAAAAAACGTTTTTCAGCCCTTTTTAAGCCATATCCGCGTTTTATCCAAAAGGATAAAACGCGGATATTGTCCAGAAAACGTTTTTCAGCCCTTTTTAAGTCATATCCGCGTTTTATCCAAAAGGATAAAACGCGGATATGGTCCAAAAAACGTTTTTCAGCCCTTTTTAAGTCATATCCGCGTTTTATCCAAAAGGATAAAACGCGGATATGGTCAAAAGAACGTTCTATAAGGGCATATCTATATGTATAAAGAATATTGAATATTGTCCTAGAATTTGAACAAATAAAAACCAATGTCTCTTCGCTTAATTACTTACTGCGAGATAAGAGTTCTAAAATTACAATTTAGTGTTTAATAAAGTTTTAATTTAGTGTCAGTTATCTGGTATGTAGTACTCCAATTTTATGATAACGTAATGTGCTGTTTTTCAAATGCTTTGATGTCAATGCAGTTATCGGTTTAAATATACCTACAATTCGTTAAGTAACAGTTAAGATATGACAATTGCCGTACGGCCTACTTTTACGCGAACGCAAATTACAACTGCAACTTTCATGCTTAATTTTCTCTGTTATCTGGGCATGTAGTAATGTAAGTTTATGCCAATGCAATCTGCTATTTTTCAAGGGCTTTTCAATGCAGTTATCGGTTTAAATATACCTCAAATTCCCGTTAAGATATGACAATTGCCGTACGGCCTATTTTTACGCGAACGCAAATTAGAACTGCACTGACTTTCATGCTTAATTTTCTCTGTTATCTGGGCATGTAGTAATGTAATTTTATGCCAATGTAAGGTGCTATTTTCCAGGGCTTTTCAATGCAGTTATCGCGGTTGAAATATACCTCAAATTTCCGTTAAGATATGACAATTGCCGTACGGCCTACTTTTCTCACGCAAACGCGAATTACAATTGCCACTTTCATTTTGGCAACACGGCCGGATCGAGGGCCGGATAACTGAGAAAATTAACTCTTTTCGTTTGGCTCCGAAATATAAACCAGGTTGAAACCGACCTTGTATTTTGCAGGTTCTTATCTTCGGTTCTGTGCATGTTATGTAGCAAATCCAATTGGAGCAAAGTCAAGTTGAACATGTTCAAGGATTAAAGCATACTGGTCGACACAAATTCCCTTGAATTGAACTGCGTTCACGTGATGTAGTTTTGAAAGAAGCCGCGCTTCTTTGACTAACGATCCGGTCTCCCCTCAGTCATGGCTGGAGTCTACCAGCTTCTTGACAACGAATGTTCTATCGTTCTCGGGCAACTTTGTTGTAAAGACAGTTGTTCGGTAATTAAAGAGAAACGTATTTCCGCCTGCCATGATTATTGCAAAATTCTAATTTTAGAACTCTTATTTCGCAGTTGTAATTTGCGCGTTTGCGTAAAAGTAGCCCATACGGCAATTGTCATATCTTAACGAGAATTGTAGGTATATTTAAACCGATGACTGCACTGAAAAGCCCTTGAAAAAACAGCACATTACATTGCATAATATTAGATTACTATATGCCCAGATAACAGAAAATTAAGCATGAAAGTTGCAATTGTAGCTAATTTGCGTTTGCGTAAAAGTAGGTCGTACGGCAATTGTCATATCTTAACGAGAATTTTAGGTATATTTCAACCGCGATAACTGCATTGAAAAGCCCTGGAAAATAGCACCTTACATTGGCATAAAATTACATTACTACATGCCCAGATAACAGAGAAAATTAACTGAGCATGAAAGTCAGTGCAGTTCTAACTTGCGTTCACGTAAAAATAGGCCGTACGGCAATTGTCATATCTTAACGGGAATTTGAGGTATATTTAATTAAACCGATAACTGCATTGAAAAGCCCTTGAAAAATAGCACCTTACATTCGCATAAAATTACATTACTACATGCCCAAATAACAGAGAAAATTAAGCATGAAAGTTGCAGTTGTAATTTGCGTTCGCGTAAAAGTAGGCCGTACGGCAATTGTCATATCTTAACTGTTACTTAACGAATTGTAGGTATATTTAAACCGATAACTGCATTGACATCAAAGCATTTGAAAAACAGCACATTACGTTGTCATAAAATTGGAGTACTACATACCAGATAACTGACACTAAATTAAAACTTTATTAACACTAAATTGTAATTTTAGAACTCTTATCTCGCAGTAAGTAATTAAGCGAAGAGACATTGGTTTTTATTTGTTCAAATTTTAGGACAATATTCAATATTCTTTATACATATAGATATGCCCTTATAGAACGTTCTTTTGACCATATCCGCGTTTTATCCTTTTGGATAAAACGCGGATATGACTTAAAAAGGGCTGAAAAACGTTTTTTGGACCATATCCGCGTTTTATCCTTTTGGATAAAACGCGGATATGACTTAAAAAAGGCTGAAAAACGTTTTTGGACCATATCCGCGTTTTATCATTTTGGATAAAACGCGGATATGACTTAAAAAGGGCTGAAAAACGTTTTCTGGACCATATCCGCGTTTTATCCTATAAAAAAAGGCTGAAAAAACATTTTTTCGAAGCCGTCCATCCGTCCGTCCGTCCGCCACTCATCCGTCCGTCCGTCCGTCCGCCATCCATCCGTCCGTCCGTATCCGCGTTTTATCCTTACCCGTAATAATTACATATGTAAAATAACCTATGTAATTATCAACACCTGTTTAAGTACGTAGGTAAAGGTTACGTAGGTAACTGTCAACACTCTTAAATATAATTACATAGGTAAATTTACCTACGTAACTGTCAACACTCTTAAAGTAAGTACATGGGTAAAATCACCTGCGTAACTGTCAACACTTTAAAATTTAATTACATAGGTAAAATCACCTACGCAACTGTCAACACTCATTTCAAACCATGCATATGGTATTTCTGAAAGTGTTAATGATTGTTAACACTTTGACTGGCTGGTAATCCAAATTGTATGCTTCTGTGTGTGTGTTCCACTTAATTGAAAAGGCAACTTTTTTGAAATCCACCAGTCTCTTGGAAAAAATATACCCACCAAAATAGCACTAGTTGAAATTAACGAAACTAGTTGGAATTAACAAAACATATAAATATAATTATTTTCTTTCTGAATCTTTATATATAAATGGCGCAAATTCATCACCAAATAATCAGATATCACTCTCAAAGAATATGAAATTAAAATTAATATAATCACTTAATTTTAAATGATCGTCCACAGCATGCAATCACTGAGTACTTCCAAAATATACAACGAACATATTATGTATATATGATAACAGTGGCGTGCTGAGTACTATTTTCTGGGGGGGGGGCAGTAAGGTATAGACTAATATGCGCCCCTATATTGTAACGCTTGATAAACGAGGGCCGAAGGCACGAGCCGAGCGCCGCAGGTGCGAGGTTTCTCTAGGGGGGTCCGGGGGCATGCCCCCTCGGAAAATTTTTTAATTTAGGTCTCTGAAATGCCATTTCCTGGACTTTGGGAGGGGGGAGGTTTGACAGAAATCTGATGGTCAGGAAACGGCATTATAACGTGTCGAAATTTGCAATTTGGTTAGAGTTTAGTTGTAGTACTTAAATTGGACAATGCTAACTAATTCCAGCGATTAATCTAATCCCAATTCTATTCTCTACTGGTCTAGTGATCTGAATGCATTTACAACTTACAGCCCTTTTATACAATAACACACGGACCCACGCATAATGCGTTTTAAGGTTTCCTTGCTTGGCTGCCAAAAGGGCGCGTTTCAGCATTATCTTATTGCTTACATTACTCACGAGTCATGATGTCACTTGCACAAACAACTAATTGCGTACACAACTTTACATTATCATATATAACTATCTATTTTGCACCGCTCTCGTGATTCGTGAAGTATAATAAAGGGCATATTAATATCAGGGCATAATACCAGCAAAAAAGGGCATAATTCCCGTGAGCGCTTCGAAACCTGACCGAAATACCGGTAATGAGACATTGCGTGTGATCACTGATCATGTTTCTATATGAACGATTTTGTGTTAGCCGTGAGGTAGGCTAGCAAATTAGCAAATACGGTTAGCAGTGGCGTAACGTTATATCAAGGGGCCCCCGGTTCAAAATTTTCGAAGGTCCCCCTAGTGGAAGTCCCAAAGGCGCGAGTCGAGCGCCGTATATGCACGAGTTTTCTAGGGGGTCCAGGGCATGGTCATCTGGAAAATTTTTGAATCTAGACTCTCTGAAATGCCATTTCCTGGACTTTGGGGAGAGATTTTACAGAATTCTGATGGTCATAAAACGACATTGTAACATATCAGAGGCCCTGGCCAATGTTTTTTCCCTATCGCCTAAGCCTGAGGGCCCCCATTTGGGTTGGGGGCCCCCGGGGTCACCCGGTCTGAGCCCATAGTAGTTACGCCACTGACAGTTAGACAAAATATAATACAGTATTACTTTGTCATCGATCTATGCGCTTAGTGTGTTTTAACTTAGCGTGTTTTAAAAGCCTATAAACACATCTTTTCTTGGCGGAAGTAACTATTTTTTTCAAACGCGTTTTTTCCCACTCACTTCCAAAATTTTGCGCCCTCCAAGAATTGGCAGCTGGGGGGGGAGGGGGTGCGTGACCCCCGCCCCCTGACAGCACGCCACTGTATGATAAACCTAATGGTATTCCGCTATTTGACTGCATGGTTGAAATATTTAAATTCTCTGCCGAAAGTGGCGTGGAGCGAAACCCCCACCTCTCTTGTTCTTGTGGAAAGTTGAAATTATAATAACATGTGGAAGAACGATAAACAGGCTTCTTTTGTGATGAAGCACATATACCTTCTCAACCCCCCTTCGTACGGATCGTGTTTGGAATATTGTTTGGAATGTATGTTTTTTTTCATCCCCTCCCCCTCCACATTACCCCACTCCAAATGATTTGGGGTGGGGTAATGTGGATGGCCAAATGAACATTTTTACTGTGCCACTGTTTGATGAGACGGAAGGATAAACGCAGTTTTAAAATTAAGTTGTGCCATAGAATTCTTAATTGCCGAATCAACATTCCTTCTCACCTAATCAACATTCCTTCCGTATACTGAATTTAATGAAATGTATTCATAATCAAGGCCTTTTTTAAGAATTCGTAAGTGATAGAGGGGAGAGTAGTCTCCTACCCAGCCTGTTCGCGGGTCCGAGGTTTTCTCCCCAAGGGGAGGGGGCATCAAAAAACGTTTTGAGAACTATAAACCACGAAAGATAATTTCCATCCATCGTCCCCAACATTTTTTATGATATTAGAATAGGCAGATATATTTCTGAGAAAGCATGTAAATGAAATAGTATTATGAAGTTGTTCATAGTACTAGTATTATACCAGGTACGTATAAAGGTGAAAAAATCTACCCAAATGAATACAAAACAACGAGGTTATAGAGTTAGCTGTTCCGGCTATGCTGCGAAATTAAAAATGAATATGTTGCGTGTGTTGTGTACTATGCTTGCCTAACATAGCTATAACCTATAGCATGGGACGCTAGAGGGTGTGTGGGGAAGGAAATCCCCGCTTGCCAACAATTTTGAAAAATAAATATTAATTAGTGATTGAAAAGTGGTGGAAATGACACACCAAAATCTAGAGATGCATTAGTAATACGGATTTTATGATCACACATAGCTGGCCCGGGCATACTGCCTGTTGATTACGACGGTCTGAAATGTTTGAGCAACAGGCCTAGGTATATTCAGATAACTAGAAAATACATGCTTGCAGCAACCCCTTGCCTTTCTTAATAACAGATGAAGTATAAAAAGTCCACATAAAGTATTAAGACCATTATAAAAACACAACTGATGCGCTAGCTTTATAATGAACGATAACATTCACTGCAATTTCATGCATACCAGCTTGCATTAAAGTGAATTACCGAGTTAAGAATGGCTTAAACATTTCGCAGATATGAATAAAACCGACAACACAAAGCAAGTACGGCATGGAATGTTACTACTGAAAGTACGCTTGAAGGTAAGCGTACTAGCAAGTACGCTTACCCAAACCGGCACAACAACGATTATATCAAAGACATCAACATCAAAACATCAAAACAATTATTATACAAACTTTGTTTCACGGTTGAACAGCCACTAATTCATGAAACTGCAGGCTTATTTCCAGTTAAAATCGACAAAAAAAACACGTGTTGTACTTTTGTAAACTTTTTAACGAAATTTGAAACAATAATTGCTGTAAAACAGCCAAATACGTCCTTTCAAAATGAAAAACAATTACTTCGACAGTTTGTACTCGCGCATGCACATAACGTCGAAAACCGTCCATGACATAAACAAATGGAGGACAACTTTGCACTCCGCTATGTTTTCACATACACGGGTATAATTAGCCGTGCGGAATTAGTACCCTCGCACGGCGCTTCGCGCAGCCGGCTTGGGGATTATATAATCTTCAATATAGCTGCAATCCTGATTCCTGGACCAACCCATTGACACCAATATGATTCCAGCCAATAATTCAAAGTTATTGATCATTGACAAATTTTGTCCCCCACCCCCCTCCTATGTCAATATTTTAGCGGTGCAATACAGCATGTAAAATTTGAACATAGGTCACCAGACAAAATAGAGAGATATTAGCGCATTGTTTTTCTAAAATGGAAAATTCTAATGACGTCAGCAATTGACATAAAACGCTATAACGCGCGCAATGGCGTGAGATGGCGGGAGCAGCTGATCACGTCAGGTCATTTGGGAAGTTCTTTCATTTTGTTAATCAACCTACGACCATGCTGCGACCTGCGCCGTAAAAATTATTAATTGGTCACCCGGTTTTCTCGCGATTCTTGAACAGGGCGTTTGTGATTTAACAAATAGATTACATTTTGCCGTTATCTGTTCAGTTAAAGATACACAGTATGACGTCATATGTGGTAAGAACAAAAAAGCCATCTAGGCGAGTGGACACTTTTTGTTCTTACCACATATGACGTCATACTGTGTATCTATAACTGAACAGATAACGGGAAAATGTAATCTATTTGTTTTATATAATAAAATTAAAACAATTGGCGAACTAAACAGGTAAATAGTTTATTTTTATTCACCCAAACATCTGGAAGTCGAAATTTTACAAATATCACGCGTACATGATATGATCTATACAAATAACGAAATGCTATTAGCTCGCTTAAGTCACGTGCTGAATTCTTATTGGCTAAGCTTAGAATGCGCTAGACGGTAATACATATGGAAAACATTGAAAAAACAGTGAAAAAACATTGCTTCAAAGGAATAGAAACATGTGATAAAAAGGAAATTATTTTGTTCCTAGCGACTATGGCAATTAAAAAGCACTTAATTAAACATTGCCTATGTCGCACGAAGTGAAGAAACCAGCTGGATCGGAAAATGTGACATCGACAGGGTCAAATGACCGAAATAGTATTTGTTTTCGAAGACCGGATTGGATTTTGAAGTCGCAGCTGAATGACTGAGTTGAGATTTGCCGAGTTTCTATCTTTTGTGAGTGATTTTTGCACATTTATCGAAGGTATTTATTGTTGTTTATAGATTTAATTGCATGAATTCATTCAATTTGTATAAATTCAGTGGAATTTTCAAATATTTTTGACATTTTAAAAACTAATGACATAATTCCGTGCGTCTGTTCTCTAATAGATCATGGCTCTCGACCAATGAAATCGCATAAATTCTTAAGGTTATTTTATAAAACTATTTCGAGCCACCTTAATGGGATTTTCTAGATCTTTATAGACGTGTGACATTTTGCATATGTTGATCCTTGCAGATGGGGTGTCTGTAAAACGCTGAACCCCACCCAGAACCTCACCCGGAACCTCATCTGTAAATCCTGGAACACACATAACCCAGCATAATCAGCATGCCTTTACGAGCAAACGATCAACCGTGTCCGCATTCACCAACATCTCGCATAACTGGTTTAATGTGACCGACAATACGCATAGCGCCAAAAATGGAGTTCATGCACTATTCATAGATTTCCGCAAAGCGTTTGACCTTGTTTACCACGGAATTCTACTTCGTAAGCTCGCAGAAATGAATGTAACCAAAGCCTTTTGGCTATGGACACGTAGTTTTCTGGAAGATAGAAGACAACAGGTCAAACTAACAGGAACCCTATCATCGGTCAATCCTTGTCCTGCAGGAGTTATGTGATGTCCCCAGCTCTTTTTAATATTCACATTAACGATATTGAGAACTCAATACCAGATGGATTATCCATAAATATATACAAATACGCGGATGATTGTACACAGGACGAAGTGGTGTCACAAGGTTCATCCAGCCATATGCAGGAGGCCCTTGAAGCAGTACAAGAATGGTCTAATAGGAACAAAATGACGATAAATTGCAAGAAAACAAAAGATATGTGGATATGTTTTAACACAGCAATACCGGCACAAGAACCATTGGTCATTGGAAACGAGGCAGTGGAAAGAGTAAATTCTCATAAACTGTTGGGTGTCTGGCATCAAAACAATTTGAAATGGAACTGTCATGTCAAGAACATTGTAAGGAAAGCAAATAAACAAATGTTTAGTCTGAGAGAATGCAGTAGAGCGAATCTTCCTCCTGAGGTCGGTATTACATGTTATGAATCCAAGATTAGACCTGTTTTAGAGTATGCAGCTCCGATATGGGGTGGTTTACCACAATATCTCATTGATGAAATAGAGGGCATTCAAAACAGATGCATCAAAATCCTCGGCACATCTCGGTGCGACTTTGAAACGCTAGAACAAGGAAGGGCACACCTAACTGCTAAGGAATACCAAAGAATTCTAAGTGATCCGACCAACCCATGTAATAAACTTATCCCCCAACCTTTTACCCATGAACACGATCTAAGAACAACAAATAATCTACCATATGTTGTATCGTATACTAAAAGACACCGGCAATCCTTTATACCTAGAGCTATATCCCTTTTAAAACAGTCCTAAATTAATTTTATAGAATATATAACTAGTATAAACATTTTTAGCAACATTGATGTAAATAATAGTAAAATTTCTTATCAATTTTAACCTTAGCACTTCTTGTAAATCCATTGTACTTTTCTAACCAAAGATGGATATTAAATGTTATTATATAACCCACCGTGAAACACCCGGACCACGCTGGAATACGAGGGGGAAGGATTGAAAAATGTTTTTCCGGAGATTAAAAAAGAAAGGGTCGAAAAATTTTCCGGACATAAACCAGTTAAATTAAGGATCAAAACAAATTTTCTGTACAAATTCCTGTTAAAACATGAGTGAAATCCTTATTTTTGGACCAATATCAGTAAAATTTAGGTCTAGAAATTCTATTCAATTCCCTTGGAAAGCCCTGTAAGTTACTTAATAACTGTACATTCTATCATTTAAAATATTTGATTGCCCTGCCAATCCAGATGATTCGCCCTGCCAATTCAGATGATTCGTATTTTGGGGGTATCACACCCACATACCCACCTCAAGTTTCGCCCCTGATTCGGGGTGACGGGACGGTTACCCGGAACACCTGGAACCCCACGTACCTGCGGTATATGATATCAAATATACGAGTTTTGCTTGTTTGTAAGCGTTTCTACAATAAATTTCGTTTACTAGACCTTACTATCTTAACGCATTATGTACCTGTGACTCTATTCTAAATTTACTAAGTAATAAAAAAAGATAGCAAAGTTAAAACGTTCTTGTTCAAACAATAACGTTTTAACTTTGCTATCATTTTTTATTACTTGAATAATATGTTTGCATATGGTTACTTTAATTTGCAATTGTATGGAACTACGATTTAGGAATTTAGAATGTAGACTTGAATATCAATTTAACTTAATTAAACCGGATAGTCTGTGAAGCGTACTATTCAATATCTGTTAAACTTGTAAAATAATACAAAAAACATGAAAGTGGTTATGAAATGTAATTTTTGCCTCAATTTTTATTTTTTTATTAATTAAAAGGTACAGTATACTACGCAAATGATAACAAATTACGTTTACACATTGGTGTAGGGGAAGGAAAAAGTAGGGCGGCGGAAATAAATTTGCCCGACTTTCTCCCATTGTTCCAGACTTGTAAATATATTTTCCGTGCAAATGTTCCAAAACAGTTGTCGACGGTTGGGAGGGGGAGGGGGGGGTTTGAAATGTATTATAATTTTAAATAAATTTATATATTATATTTTCCTCTATTTTTGACAATTAGGCCTATATAGCATATTTCCCAAAAGTATTTAGTGGATTTCTCCTATTTATTTTTATAATAATCGAATAACTCGCCCCGTTTGCCTATGAGTTTACAGTTTATTCCGTATCTCATATATAATTATTCTCATGTTATCGCACATCCGATATTTTGAGATGTTACGTTACTAGCCAGAAAATATGATATCATGCATAGTAACCATTTAATAAAATTCAATGAATCTTGGAACAATGAATAGTTGCAACTATAAGTGAACAATTTGGTTTGCTTAAACGGTACTCATGGTAATACACTCGTCCTTAGTCCCTTTTCTTTCATTTAGTATCTGATCATATATATACACAGGTTGTGCCAATGAAATGTGATTAGGTCAGAAGATGTGCTTTTCTTTCTAGTTTTTGCTAATAGAATGTTACCTCGCCTAAATGTGCAAGTGTGATTTGTACGAAAAAAGCGACTCAGAAAATGAGCATCACTCCATCAGAATAAACATTTTGCCATGTATTTTGCTATAAATATAATAGTTTTAAAATATTATTTTTAGGTTTTCAAGGTATTTAAAAAAACAGATAAACACAGCAATCAGATATTTCTATGATTATTTAGACCCTGATTATTTTTAAACAGAATTTTCGCTCTTTCAAAATTCGATAAACACGCATTTTTTTATAGCTTGCTGTGCTGAGTGGTTATATTGCTACCTGAAATAACTTCGCTCGAGACGTCGAGTTTCTGCTTGTTTATTTTACTCGGTATCGGAATGGAACTCATTACCTATTGAACTGAAACAATCTACCAATCTTAAATCTCTTTAAATCCAAACTAGAACAATTTATCTAATTAAGTTGAACAATTTATCTAATTAAGTTGATTTTTGTTTGTTTTTGGGTTGTTTTTTTTTTCTAACTATGAAGTATAATTATATATAATCCATTTTTAAATATTTTATAGTTTTTAAATAAGCATAGTATAGTTTACCATGTATAATATAGATACATATTACAGGACCTCCCTGAAAAACACTTTGGCGAGTGGAGCTTCCTGAATAATTATTATTATTATTATTATTATTATTATTATTATTATTATTATTATTATTATTATTATTATTATTATTATTATTATTATTATTATTATTATTATTATTATTATTATTATTATTATTATTATTATTACCATTATTATTATTATTATTATTATTATTATTATTGTGGAAGACCACCTTAAGTATTCTGCCTTTTCTTGTTGACATAAAACTAAACCCGTGGCTGTGTCGTTGAGTGAGCCGAAAGAAGAACATCTATCGTCGACTACTTATGTTTAAGAGTTCAGTTTCAAACGTCCAGCCAGGCCTTGTTAACAAATTCGTTCCTTGGAATACCCGTTATTATGCTAAAAAAAACTTCGTTTCATGAAACTCATTGGTGTTGCTTTATTCACGCTCCTTATGTTTTTAACTCGTTTAGCAGCTCGAACACATTAGCCTTCCCTACCCCCCTTAAGTCCCAATTGTTATCTGGGAGACATGTGACCAGTCTGGACAAGGCTTAAATTATAATTTTCAAATTTCAATTAGTTTTGCTGTTTTGTTTTAAAATACCTGAGTTTGGTTTTACGTAATGGCCTCTCTTAATACCATATAGACTGGATGGAATTTGTCTCGACACCCCCCTCCCTACACATGTTTGCCCCCCTCCCCTCAGTGAAGGTCACTTTTGTCTAAAACATAAGCAAAAAAGGGCAGAATAACTTATTTAAGAAGAGCATTTTAGTAGTCCCAGTATACATTGTAGCCCTTCTGTTTCTGCTAACATCCGTAACATATATCATGCAAATTTTCTTGAATAATATTATAGGCTTTCGACACTTTCCCGTGAGCCGCTTATCAATGGATTTCAGTGATTATTTTCCGTTTGTAGCCAGTCACTAGCCACAACCCCTCTCCCAAAACAAGACGGAAAATGGATTTATTTGGAACGAATGTCTTTCCGATCATTCACTATAGCAGTCTGTCTGGTGGTCTTGCTATGGGATCGATGTCCTATTGACCAAATCCTCAACAATATGTATCACTAGTCTGTTCTCAATAATTTTCCTTCGCCGTCGTTAAAAAATTAATGGGACAGTAAGAACATGCGCGTGATGTCACTGAGTACATGTTAGGAGCATTTCAAAGTAGATCTTTGGAGTAAGATTGTTTATATAATGACTACAGTGAAACACGCAATTTGATTGATCAATAGAGGAATTAAAATGCCCTCGCGGGATTTTCGCGGGATTCTCAAAATGTCATTGTTTCACTGTAGTTACTTCCGACTTCCAGTCGCAAAGCTAGTCATGGCAAGTGGTCATGTGCATGCTATACTTATAAACCTGCATCTCAGTAATATAGGTTAAAGACAATACATTTCTAAAAGTTTGAATAATGCAAATCATTAAACATGTGCATAGCATGGCCTGTTGCTGTGGCTAGCTGCGCCACTGCCGACTTCGCAGGTTAATCAGACCATTTTTCTATAAAAGACTGAAAAACAGCGTTTGATCAAAGATTCAGTCTGAGCTTGCTAGCCAAACTCAATGACAAATTTACTACGTTTCAATAGATTGTATTTTTGTGAAAGCATCCAACCTTCAAATCGAGATCATGTCAAATATCGTCTATGATCAACGTCCCTGAGCAATAACTTCTTCATCATAAACCGCCACGAAAATTGAGATATATCTAGCTCCCTACTGCATGAACGTGACCCCCTAGATATGATTTACGTCACTGTCGTTTCACATTTCAAGACGCAAACAAAGCAGGGGATTTAGACAAGACTATCGCTGCGTATGTTTTGATTGCAGCATAACATCACAGAATAAACAACACTGAAATATATACTGTGCATGACCTTGTGTTTTTCTATTTATTAACTATGGTTCAACGTTGTTATCGTGTGATGAATATAGATGACGTTTACTCTATTCAGGAATCATGACTTGAAATAACGTTCCCAAAGTTCCCGACCATGATGATCGGCAGTCATGACTTATTGCCGACTTTCGTCGATCATATTTATTCACCGAGCAATTTCTTGCCGATGTTTAATCGGTAGTACACTCTAAAAACACTCTGGTTAAATTCAACCAGGAATTGGGTTAATAATCCACCCAACACATTCTGGTTAAATTTAACCCATTTCCTGGTTAAAAATTATCGATTCAACAAAAATTTGGTATACTTTTTTGAACATTTAACCCGGAAAATGGTTAATTTTTTTTAACCAGACTTGTGTAGGTGGATTTTCAACCCCGTACTGGTTGAATGAACCCAAATTTAACCAGAGTGTTTTTAGAGTGTACTTGCCCTGCTATTTGTGAGTAAAGCCGGTTTGTCCGATGCTGAGTTGACTCACCTGAAGAGTATTGTAGTCAATTTACTCACAAGTTTTGAGTACTGAGGAAATTGTTTGGTACGGTCTTTGAGTAAATTTACCCTTTGAGTAAACTTACTCATCACATTTGTGTAGCTGGTTGTGTTTACTCGATATTTCTTACTCAAACATTTACCGGTGTAAAAATACTCGAACCATGAGTGACCAGTACATTCTACTCAGATTGAGTAGATTCGCATCTTTACTCAGCTTTGAGTAACTCGGTCAGTCTGGAAAGCATATTAACTCAATGTTAGAGTACGTAAAACATCGATTCTACTCGAGAATAACGAGTAAATATGAAGCAACTTACTCAAATGAGTAATTTTACCGATTATAACTGCGTAAACGATAGTGGTTTACTCAAAATAGTTTACTCAGGTGTTTGAGTTTGAAGTTATACTCAGCATATTCGAGTAAAAATACTCTTAAAACTGAGTAAACATTGCGCATTTCACGCAAATTTATGTGTTAAACTAACTCAAGCAAAAAATGGATTTTTTGCAGTGTAAGAAAGGATTTATATTTTACGAACTCCAGTTCCGACTTCCAGTCGCAAAGCTAGTCATGGCAAGTGGTCATGTGCATGCTATACTTATAAACCTGCATCTCAGTAATATAGGTTAAAGACAATACATTTCTAAAGGTTTGAATAATGCAAATCATTAAACATGTGCATAGCATGACCTGTTGCTGTGGCTAGCTGCGCCACTGCCGACTTCGCAGGTTAATCAGACCATTTTTCTATAAAAGACTGAAAAACAGCGTTTGATCAAAGATTCAGTCTGAGCTTGCTAGCCAAACTCAATGACAAATTTATTACGTTTCAATAGATTGTATTTTTGTGAAAGCATCCAACCTTCAAATCGAGGTCATGTCAAATATCGTCTATGATCAACGTCCCTGAGCGATGACTTCTTCACCATAACGTGCACGAACGTGCATGAACTTGATAGACCACCTATACTGCATGAACGTGACAATAGGACAATCGATGAAAGCTAAATTTTCCTTACACTCATCAATCTGAATTGTTAATGATGTCGCAGTTATAATGCGCACATCAAAGAGAAAACTGCAGTTGTGCTTTAGCTGTCCACCTGATAGGTGCTCTCAAAGAAAAAAAGAAAACAGTGTGTTGATAAAATTTATAAATTCGGTGAGTAAAAATACATATACTGTATTTGAGTACTTCTCTTCTCAATCCTGATTAGCCGAAAATTATCTTGATAGAGCATGCATGGATCCAACTGTGCATGATAGCTGTACAAGTGTAGAATAACCCTATATATTAGAATAACCCTATATATTTTTTAAAGAGTTAGTAAGTTAGTAAGTATAATATGTTAGTTATAGTTAATAAGATACTGTCTGTTTCGTAAGTTGAATTCTGTATCACTTATTCAGAATGCAGCATTTGTACAGTGTTGTACTCTAGCTTAATTCAGACGAATTTAATTGCAATTATAAATATTTGCGACGGTATAGTGCGTCGTATATTGATAAACAGTATATTGGATAAAGTTGCTGTGATATCCAGAATTATCAAGGTTGAGGTAAGTGTTAACACTAGCATACCGAGACCTTTATTAAATAATTTTCGGTATGCGAAGTTCATATTGAGCAAAAGGTGTTCGCTGCCAGTTTTGTCTGAGATTTATTTTGTCCAAACAGCATGCTGATTTAGTTAGCTGATAAAGTGGTAATTCAGTATAATAAAGACTTTCATCTTTTCAATCTTAGAGCTTTGTTTTGCGATAGCCTTGGTGTCGCTGCAATTAAAAAGTTTAGTGCAACTATAATGGTGCTTTTTTCAAGTAGAGTGCTAAAATTGGAATATCTATTTTCTCTGACACAATTACCTCTCAGAAAAAAGCCATCCTTTTCAACTACCCTCAACATTAAATGCGGTCACTTATAATATATAATATATACTATGTTCGTTGGTCCAGCAGAATCAAGTAAGAAGTTGGGTTTCAACTCGCGGAATCATAAGCAGTTGTGTAGTCTAGGGGGGTGAGGGGGGGCGACCGCCCCCCCCCCAATCGCCACAAAAACCATCCTAAGTGCAACATTTCCGATCAAAATGAACTTGGTTTTTTCCTCCCAGCCTCAGAGAGGGGAAATAAGGTGACACGGACCCCTCCTCCAGTGTTCCAAGGTGACTTTTCCAATTCATTTAATTCCGAAGACAAATGTCTGGGAAAAGGTACGTCTTTCATGTTCTTTATAATCATCGGAATTCTACAAAATTTCACCCCAAAACTGCTTGAAATCGCATTTCAGCGACTCCAGATTTCAAAATTATTCCGAGGGAATATGCCCCGAGGGAATTATGCAAAGTTAATCAATCCAAAAGGGCGTTGTGAAAACCCGGAATGCCGGAATATCATGGAATATCACGGAATATGGTGGAATATCACGGAATGTGACGGAATATCACGGAATATCACGACATTTTCCCGGAATATACCGGAACATCACGATATTTTCCGATGGTTGCTATGCGACTGTTTATAAACATGGACGTCTGACAACATATTTTACTACAAAAGTGATGGATCTTTCCCATTTTGACGGTAAGTAACAGACAATAACTCTATACGAGTGTATCATTATTACGAGTGTTCACCAAAAGTTTTGAATCAATATGATTAATTCCTCCTGAGTTACAGCGTCTTGAAAAATAAAAGTGCTGACGTCAGCATTATTTTCGAACGCCTTCAGAACTGTGTTACGGCGGGACTTCTAACCTGATATAAACAAGAATTCAAACATCTTGGCCCAAACTCGCCTTTATTTTAGCATTTGATTTTTAAAATTCACCATTTATACCAACAAGCATTTATCCAAAAATCAAATGTTAAAGATATTAAAATTCTTGTTTATATCAGGTAAGAAGTCCCGTCTTAACCTTAATCAAGAATTTTTAACTAAATTTTGTGTATAACACAGTTCTAAAGGCGTTCGAAAATAATTCTGACGTCAGCACTTTTATATTTCAAGATGCTGTAACTCAGGAGGAATTAATTATATTGATTCAAAATTTATGGGGAACACTCGTAATTAGCTTCCTCCGCAGGCATCTCGTGGTACTTACCTAGAATCGGTTAGATGCCTGCCAAAACCCGACATGGTTGAGCCGTTCTGCGCATCTTGCTTGCGCAGCGATTTTGTCTCTAGGGCATGCACGTGGGGAGGGATTTGTCATCCAAGATGGCGGATTGCATGGAGTGAAGAATTATGAGAATTTGTGAATTTATATTAATACGGTCGCTAAAGGCGGCTAAACGATTAACAATTCAGCTTTTTTGGACAATTGAAAGAATCTTAACCCGGAAAATAAAATTGTTATCAAATAATTTACATGTTGTCAGTTAACATATATTTTTGTATATCTGTAGATGGAAAACATCAAGCCATCAAGGTTGACATCTACTTTTGTATTTAAAGCTGCAGATGGAAATACAAATCTTGTTGTAATCTTTTAAGTACTATCAGTGCCTTTTTAACATATATCTGGGGGAGGGGGGTGCAATTGCCCCCCAGGGAAAGAATTTGCCCCCCCTCCCCAGTTAAGCCATTTCTGCCTTCGAAGTGCGAAGCAGAATTGCTCATGATTGCTGTCAGAATTGCAGCTGATTTACTTGATAATGAGATTATGACCTTCCATAGCTTCCTCCACAGCCAACTTGTGTGTAATTCAGATTGTTCTTCACCGAGTATTTCATAATAGCGATAGATTTCATGCAAACAATCCGATAAAATGCTGGTTCCAAGAAGAATAGATTTAGTTTAGATTTTTAACTGTTAAATACATGTATGCATCATCATAGCATGAATATTTCTTCTCAGATTTATTCTGTATCGTATGAAAAAGCAACGCAATTTTGAGAATGCGGAAATGGTGTCTCATAGAACCTAAAATGATTTAAATGCAACATTTCTGATCAAAATCAAATTTGGATTTTCTCCCCCCCCCCAGCATCACAGAGAGGAAATAAGGTGACACTGACCTCTCCTCCTATATTTCAAGATGTCTTTTCCAATTTATTTAATTCCGAGTAGAAATGTCTGCAAAAATTCATGTCTTCGATGTACTTTATAATCTTCGGAATTCTGCTAGATTTCTCTCTCAAAATGCTTGAAATCGCAATTCAGGGACCCTACATTTCAAAATTTTCCCGGGGGTACATGCCCCCGGACCCTCCTAGATGGTCTCACACTTCAACGTGCATGAGGTTGCCCCCCCCCAAAAAAAAAATTAAGATCTGGCTACGCCACTTGTTATCAGTGGCGTAGCCAGAACGATAATTGGGGGGAGGGCATATTCATATATTCGTATTCTGCTTCATTTCTTTTGAAATCAATTGTTTTTATGGTATGTGAACACGAATATATGAATACCCCCCCCCCCAATTATCGTTCTGGCTACGCCACTGCTGGTTATAGCTGTACGATTATAGCTACAAAGAATTGAAGTTATTGTTTAAAGTAAAATATAGATGAAGTTAATAAATTAAAGTTTTACAAAATCTCTCTTCAGACTTGCGCGTTCGCCAAACATCGACGGCTCATATTTTTTGTTCTGCCTTTTTTTCTTGTTTTGCCACCCCCCCCCACCCCCAGTGAAAATTCCTTAAAAAAGGCACTGAGTACTATAAAGGTAGACTTTGTGTTAATATCACAATGAAATACATTTAACTTCATATATTTTTTTGGATCAATTAGTTGTTTTGTGTTAAATAATTATTAATGTCTGGCTGGCATAATTATATAAAATAGTACTATTATCATGTACAGTTAGTTCATGGTTGTCAGAAGCAGGACAAAATTACCCTACATAGAATGTGTAGAAATGTAACAATATAAAATATATTTCAACAAGATAATTGTGGACCCAGTGTTAATAGAAACCAAGACAAGAGCCATATTGATTTGAGTGAAAAAGCCTTGGTCTGGTGTTTGGTTGTCAGATTGGCCGAGTACGCCAATCAGTGAAGCAACATCCCAGTTAACGCCACTGTCTGAAATCTAAAATTAGCTGGGTTCACTAACTATATTAAAATATTAATTTAGTACCTGCATGGTGTGAATTGCATTGTACAACCCAGCAGTTAAACAATAACGTGGTAGATGATTATAATAATATAGTTTTTTTAATCCAAATAAACATGTTGAATTGTCAGGGTTTCCATGAAAGAAACTAGGTGCTATTTTGCATGTCTGAGATGGAGATTAAGGTGCTGCATCCTAGAAAGTGTGAACAGCTAGGTTTACATTGTACAGTTAGCAGCTTCAAGGCTACAGTGACATGGACAAGCAACCATTGTCAGTAACAACATTGATCAAGCATGTCATAACCTGCCCGATAAAATAGTGACATATTGAACATGGCCAGCATTCTGTTCTGTGTACGCTTTATTTGTATAGGTAATCATGCGATGGCGAGTACAATTAGGGATTAATAGTACGAGTGATGTTTGGAAATTTTGCCAAAATTGGACGAGCCGCGGGGCGAGTCCAATTTGGTAAATTTCCAAACATCACGAGTACTATTAATCCCTAATTGTACGAGCAACATCGCATGATTACTTGTTTATTATTAGCATGACAAAATTGGATACGTACTTCTCAATGTCAACATCATATTCTCTCGCCAAAGCCCAGTTCTGCCAGACTTTCAACCAAAATTTGGTGCTTTTGTTTGTATTTTCATTTAGTTCTTTTGTTAAAGCAAAATTTGGTGCTTTTGATCGTATTTTCATATAGCTCCTTCACGGCAATTTCATTTCACATCTGTGTTTAAAATACCTTTCCACCATTTTGTTTGTTTTGGGAAAATCATTAATTGTACTGCAGTACAATTAATGAAATAATTGTACTCCTCTCAACCAATCAGCATCCAGTAATTTTGTCATGCTAATAATAAACAATATAACATGCTTTTAATCAACCTCGTACCCAGGGTCCCCGTAGTGGGACCCTGGCAAACTCTGATTGCGTGACGTCACAAATTTTGAAGATTACGTAATTTGTAACTTTATGATCCGGGGGGCGATGGCCACTTTCACTGTGACTGTGCAAGCAAACTTCGCGAAGGGCGAATGCAAATAATATGAAAAAAAGATATATAAACACAAAGATTCTTCTTACAATTTCGTTAACCTACTGGCTTCGGCAATCTACATAATTTTGCTAATCTTGTCTATCGAAGGGATTCGAAGAACGGAAGAAGTATGAAAATTGACAATTTAAAAAGATGAATCACAATCAAAGATTGGCTATTTATGATAGATCTCTAAAAGTCCATTTAATATTGACAGGAGTGCTTTGATACATAAATTATAGCCTATAATGGACTCATTATTGGATAAAAAAAGACGACAACTTTAATTATTTTAAAGAACCTGACTGGCAAGGCTATGCATTAAGTGTATAAATTGTATGTATATTTTATTATTAAAATACAGTTCTTAAATTTTTAAATTGATTTTGTCTGTCCTTCTTTTGATTTTTGAAAATACCACTTCTAAAGCACATGTCTATGTTATTATATTGTGGAATTGTTCAATTTGACATGCATGTAGAAATTTTAAATATATAATTCATATAATTATGATGTACAGTAATGTGTAAACAAAATCCTCATATAGTTTATACTTGTATTAATAGGGATTGTCGATAAATAAATTGTCCTTCAATTGCAGACTTGTTCTGCGATTGTTTCAACCCCCTTTCCCATCACGGATGAGTGGAGGTCTATATGTTCATTGTAGTTAAATTTTATAATAGATATAGTACAATCTTCAACGGCTGTGATCAATGCAGCTTATTGGTATGATATAACACCCTTTCCCACTTTTATTGGACAAGTTCGCAAATGAAGAACAAAATCTATTTATTCTCAGCCCCCCCCCAAAAAAAAAAAAAAGTTAGCGATCTTTATTCAATATGAACAACCCAGCTCAAAATGTGACAAAGAAAAGCTTGGGCATGTTTGTCTTATACTATTCATACTGGCAATAGATCACTCAAAATAGAAACTATGATATATAACTAACATAACAAATTGGAATTGAACTTGTACCTATTTCTCACAAAGGTAATTATCTTAAAAAAGTACTGGTATATGCATGCTGCATATCCTAAATTTCAAAGCTCACAAACATATCTTCAGCTGACATAATATGGTCACATTTTGAAACAACTAACTCAACGCAAACTGCGATTGCCAGGTTACCAAATAATCAAAAATCTTGGACCTGGCCTTTTTTGGCAGTGGCATACTGGGGGGGGGGGACTCAAAATCAAAAATATTTTGCAAATATGCCTGACCACGGTGGGAATCGAACCTACGACCCTTTGGATACTAGCCCTAGGTTCGATTCCCACCGTAGTCAGGCATATTTTTCAAGCTTGCCCGGTGTGGATATACACTCAGAGTATCATCACAAGCATCTATTACATGACGATAAGCAAACTTCAAACAACAATTACCTTTTAAATCAGGACGTTCAGAATTACTCTGAGTAGGTGTCTGTTTTGATAGAGTAGGCGGCTGTTGGGAGGAGGCAGTCTAGGGGGTCTTAAAGTTATCCAAATTAACACAACTGAGCTCTGTAACCAAGTTATAATGTATCACCATTTTAATTCTTCAACAAGATAACATTAAGATTTAAGATGGCAAATAACTAAATCATTAGACCAGGTTGATAAAAAAAAAATAACTTGAAAACTTAGAGTGGAAAAAGGAGAGCAAATTGATATTTCAAGTACTAAACAAAGTAACCATGCAGCGGTAAACCTTGTAGGACCTGTCGGAGCTCCGGCAGCCACCGGCTTATTTTGAAAGCCCTGGAGTGTATTGATGGGCGAGACAACTCTGTACCATAGCTGGCAGAGCAGCCCCCTACCAGATCATGCTGGATCGATACTTGGATTATTTACAATTACAATTTTCAAGTGACAATCCAAATTTTTAGATGGCTGTCTAAAATTTTAGTCAGCTGGATGGCAGGCTGGTTAGTACCATGAAGTAATTAATGCGGTAGAATAATCTTGAGCGTGACATCTACCAAAATAAAGCAACAATATAAATTGTATAACTTTGCTTGACTTATAATTATTGAATATAAACACTTCTTACATTTGGTCAACTTGCATAATAGTTGCTTGCAAATTTGTGTTTATAAGCACAGTCAGTACTAAGTAGTTTACTCAGTGTTTACATAGCTTACATGCTGTACATGTACTCAACAAATTCCTGAAATATGTCTCGCTAACGAGCAACATACAACGTAAAAACACATGGAATTGTAAATTTGAAGTTTGTTCTTTGCTGAAATATCTCAAAATTGTGTAGACAAACCAGTTTCAATGTCATGCACCGATGCACGTCCACTAGAGTGTATAACAGTAATCGACAATTCCAAGATCATCCATTATCCAGTTGAAATTTTGACATTTACCACTCCATCTGCCTTCTAGAGTATTCCGTTTCCCAAAAGTATTAATATTTGATGTTATATACATGTAGGATACAGACCAAATTTAAATTGAACGGTTGCAAAAATTCTTATAAATTCCATTCACATTCACACTTCGTCGCTCCGTACGATTTACACAGTTTCGGCGTGGTTTGACCAACTGGATTTCGTTAAATTCCGGCCATCCGTTGTAAGGGCAATAATCAATGTTTCATTCATATTTGTAACAATTTACAACATGAAAATGATATTCTCGATCGATATTTTTTCGAATTGTGTTTGAATATGAAGTATAAATAAAGAGATCGTATCCTATGGGAGTGAGGGTCATACAGCTTTTGACATTTTGTAGTAGTTTTGATATGAACAAACTAATCCCTAGGGTACCCTGGGTGCCACGACAAGTCCGTTGAGATGACACATCTCTCCCCCATTCTCGTACCCAGAGCACTTCTTACGCGCGGTGCGACGAGGGGCTCTGGCCAAATCCATATTCCGAACTGGCATCTGATTGGCTAGCTCTAAGACCAGAAATTGTTTTCTTACCATGTTTTTATGGTATCCGGTTATGGATTTGGCCAGAGCCCCTCGTCGCACCGCGCGTAAGAAGGGCTCTGGGTACGAAAATGATCTCTCCCCAATTTTCTCCCTGCACAGTAACCCTATAAGAACATCAGTTATTTGAATAACTAAATTATATAAGTCCTCGACGATCAAGAGATGCTTGTAATAATGATAATAATGACTCGTAATAATGATAATAATGACTAACTGGTCATAATGATATAAACAACATATAAAACTTCCAGTATAAACTTATTGTTTGCTATAGGAAAGATCCATCACTTTTGATAAAATATAGCTACCATCGGAAAATATCGTGACGTTCCGGTATATTCCGGAAAATGTCATGATATTCCGTGACATTCCGCCATATTCCGTGATATTCCGCCTTATTCCGTGATATTCCGGCATTCCGGGTTTTTACAACGCCCCAATCCAAAAGTACTGCGAGTGTGCTGCAAGGTACTTGTTCGTAAAAACGTTTTAATGATTACGAATGTTCTCTGTTCAGTGGTTAATTGAATTAATTATGTTTAATGCAATAATGGACATTCTCATGGTCTCACTAAGACGAAGATTGACGAGTTGAGCTTATTTTAGATAATTTAACATTCAATTTTAATTCTCTCCTGGGAATTGTTTATGTTTCGTTTTCCATGCAATTCCCAACGGTGGAAGAATGTGATTTCGCCCGGCAATTTTTATTTGACGAGTATATGGCCATCTCTCATCGTTACGATTTAAAAAGAGTATCATTGAAAAGCTAAATAACTGTTCTTTTGTCCTGTGTAAAATTGAATTGTTTAGCCACGTTTATGATGCACGACAGCCTGTTGAATTTCCATAGCGTTTTTTTTAGACACCATGTATATAGTAGACCCGTTGCAGTTGGTCTGTGCCTAGATCTCACTCGCTAGCCAATTTTTCTCTCTGAATCCCATTTTCCAGAATTTTTTAGACCAAATCCCAGTCCCAAATGTGACTTGACGTATTTTTCTATGTGTTGACTTTAAAACACAATTCTGCGTTCATTTGCTCTCTTTAGGACCAGGGACGTAGCTATAAGGGAGGGTGAGTGACACCACCCCCGAAAACGTCTTTTCGGCGGAATAACGGTTTTATCTGCAAATCGTTTAATAACGGTTATGAAATGACGGTTTTATCTGCAAATCAGCGAAAATATTTGAGTGGCTCAGATGAAAAAGTAATATTTTAAATATAGCAAAAATTTAGCTAAATTTACTAAAATTACGGAAGAAGTTAATAAATTGTGATATGTCCGGAATATCTTGTGTATGTCCGGAAAAATCAGGTTTAAAGCTCTGCACGTGACATTATGGTTGACATGATTTGTCAATAAGCTTATGAATTATTAATGAGTGTTTGAAGTGTAGTTTAAATAAGCACGATATTCGCACAAATTTACATTCAACAGTTATTATTCGGAAAGATTAATCAACATCATACAGTTTTCAACGAAAAGTGGTATTTCAAACCGCCAAAAATCCACTTGGTCGAGTCCGCTCCAGCAAGCGCTATCCGCTCCAGAAATCAATCGACACGGATTCTGCCAGGCACCTAACCACGAAATCGATCAAATTAATCCACGTGGCCCACGCAAAGGCCGCGCAAGCCACAGAACAACACATAGCGCCTGGGTACGAGGCTGGGTTGAAACTTGAAATTTGTTTACTTGCGTGGATATATTTTGATCATCTTCTTGCATGTTCAGCAAACAATCGGTGTATATAAAGTGCTAAATCAATGCAGTGCTAGTAGGCGAAATTTAATTTTTTGTTAACAATGGCAAACAGTCAATCGGGAAACACGAGTATATCAGGATAGTCCAAATGTTGCTCTTGATACTTCCTATATATGCCATGACTTCGACGAAAACTTCTAAAAGATTAAGCTCTCATTGTCATGTAGAAAAGTATTGCCAAGTTAGAGTATAAACGTTTCGAAGTTTGGCCGCGAATTGGAAAATTCATCACGGCGCAATTTTAATACAAGTTTCTCGGGTTTGTGTTGTGTTTACAGTTTATCGGTTTACATTCAGAAGTGGTTGCTCAAACAGCAAATTAGTTTACTTTGAAGCTAATATTTCGCTTTCTAAGCCACAGTATTATATAAAATTTTCTGTCTTCCGAGTTCTGTTGTCTTATAAAGATAAACCGTTAAAATTTCAGCAAAATATATTCGGCATGCTGTCTGTCTAAGATTCATACAGTATAAATATGCCAATCCTGTCCGCGTTTTAAATATAACTGGACATCTCTAATATCCAAATCTGATCATTAATGGTGCATTTTATTACCTGGGCAAGTATCAGTATCTTTAAATTCAATTTATGTGCAATTTATTTGACCAAAATTCAACCGACGACTGCTTTCAAAATATATATTTATATTTATTCCGCTCCTAAATCAACTGACGTCACTTTCCAGAATCTGGAAGGTAAATTCTGATTGGTCGACGTAGCGGAATTCAGTTTGGCGCTCGGGTAAGCAGACGGTATAGTATTTCGTCGCTTGGCGTAAGAACTACAACGTCTGTGAGCAGGCTATGCTATTCCAACCAGCTGAGCTACAAAGAGTCCAGTTGTTGGATTCCTGCCAGAGGTCCTATACTATATTCGCCTTTTTTGCAGCTGCTCCTGGTAGAAATTTTCGTCTACAAAAATCCTTCAACTGCATGTCAGTCTATAAGTACCTGCCATTTTCTGCAATCTAGTAAGTAGACTTAGTCTATAGTAGCAATCTCAAGGGGTAATTAAGCAACATGAGCTCCACCTTTGAATTTACTATACGAGTAAATTCTTAAACACGTCCGAATTTATCATTATGATAAATTCGCGGCACATTTTGAATTTATCAATAGAGTTAATCATAAAACCACAATCATTGCACAAGGTTTCTTGTTATAAGTGTAATGGCACTAAAACGGAGGCTGGTCGCGCAGGGGTGGGGAGTTTTTCATGTTTTTTAAGGAAATAGTTTTTAAAAAAGTTTTAAAAAGTTTTAAAAGAGTTTTGAAAAGCAAGAAAAGTTTAAAAAGTTAGATTTTTAAAAAAGTTAAAAAAATTTAAAAAGTTAAAAAAATGAGGGTTAGTGGTTAGGGTTGGGGTTAGTGTTAGTGTTAGGTGCCGCGAATTTATTATTATGATAAATTCAAAATTTGCCGCGAATTTATCATAATGATAAATTCGGACGTGTTTAAGAATTAATATAGTAAATTCAAAGGTGGATATCATATAGTAAATTCAGAGGTGGAGCTCATGCTGTAATTAAGGTGTAATTTATAACTAGATCCCTAACATGTCGGAGGCAGAAACAAAACGAACCGCTACTCGGAATGTGCGGTAACAATGAACCTTTGTTTCTTTCATATAAGCAATTTTTTTATTACATGGGTGCAATCGATCTATAGAATTAAGTATAGGTGCAATACATGGGTCTAAGGTTAATCCCCAACAACCGACCGCGTAACACATATATATCTTGCATTTAAAGATGCATATTTTCTGAATATATTTTATTCTATATGACTCCGCTTTTTTACATTATACTAGCACATTTATTCCCAAATCGATAACAATAAAGAACACAATGGCCGCTGCTAATTCGTGTTTGGTCTACTATCGGCTTTTCACGCCTGAAGAAATCAAAGAACCGCTTGCCGAGTTTTCCACAGGTAAGGTTAAATTAAGTCATTAACATAGCCAGAGCCAGAAAGGGGGCGGGGGGGATTGGTTGGATTACTTCCCCGCCCTGTGCTTGAAAACCCATGTAAGTAGAGTTCTCTCCTGCATGTGTTTCGATAGGTTTTCTCCGCGTCCTACGGTTTTATAACAAAAGGTTTTGAAATAAATTCGACATGCACAAATGCCACCGTAGTATCATTTCCAAGTGCGCGTGTGTTCGTTATGATGTTCAAGTGACGTTAGCAACTGTCCTTGCCACAGGACATAGCTAGCTATAGATCAACCTGTCTGTCCACCCATCTGCCTGTTTGTATGTCTATATTTCTGTCTTATTTGTCTTCCCGCCTGCCGCCTTAATTGCTTATACCTTCTCTATCGCTCAACACTCCCTGTCATATACGTTCTCTTTCTTTATTCATTCTTCCATTTAAGAATTCAAATGTACAGCATATGTACTGATATGTTTAACATTTAGTATAAAACATCTATAAATTGCTGGCAGGTGCCTTGCATGGGTCACCTTTTTTAAGAGTCCCGTTCGTACCTTCACTTTTGGATCTTCGTTTTCTAAGTTATTTCCTCCTAATATGTAACTGTTATTTTTATAGACTTGATAATATATATTGTATACATTATTGATCCAAATAAATATGTGAAAACAAAAAAAAACAAAAACAAAAGCAAACAGTTGCGCAATTAATTGCAATTACACAATTAACTACAATAAAGTTTGAGCATGCACATAATTACAAGTAAATTATATATGTACAATCTCATTAAAATTGATAATACAAAGTATAGTGATGTATAAACATATCAAACGATAACATTATGAGATTAATATAAATAGTTTAATTAACTACGATAATAAAAACTAAGACTAAGTGAAAAATTTTGAGGTCCGCGAGTTCGATTGAGTGTTCAATTTAGCTAGGTTTCAATTCCCCAAGAAAAAGCATTCATGCAGCTAGTGACAATCAAACTTGTTTTCGCATTTCTTTAAAATTGAGAAGCATTTGTCAATCCTGGATGGTTCTTCATTGTGACATTATTCTTTCACGTTTGCCAACAACCGAACTCTTGTGCTCATCAATGCGCTGGTGTAAGTGCGGAAATTCTTCGCGAGAAATTATCTCTGCGAATGTGCTGTTGCACTGACATGAGTGATTGAATTTTTCCACTCTTTTCTCTTTTATAGTGAGTAGAACTGACTTCTACTTACTAGCGAAGTGAAATATTTCTCGCGAAGCCAAATTTATCTTTACTGCGCTTGCACCTAATTCATTTCGCGCGAACTTTTTCGCATTTCGCCAATGAAAAGCGCGCGTGGAGTCGAACTTTACCCTTCGCTGTCGAGCATTTGTAATACTAATTATATGTTTATTTAATCATCAAATATCATTGCAGGCCAAGTTACAAGATCCACAACCCAACTCCAAATCGGGCCTGATAAGGACGGCGAGCGAGAAAGGGTGTTCAAAATACAGCTATTAAATTCTGCCCAAGCACAGGCTATTCTACCTGACAACGAAGATATAGTGATAGTCGTACGGCTGGGTAGTGCCATCATTCCACAAAAGCGGGATCCGCTTTATGTGATGATCACTGATGGCAATCGTGCGTTTGGATTTAAGATCAGTGAAAGTGGGCCGATTAAAGGCGCTGAAGGCGAAGTGGGCAAATATTTAGATCCTGTCACTTTGAGAGGTGAGTCGTAAAAACGCACAAGTCGTAACAAGCCTGCAGCAGACTTGTGGCAATGTTATTCCAACAACTTGTGATTACTTGTCAACAAGATATGTTCGCACTGCTTGTTCCCAACTTGTTGACAAGTTTTCAACAGCTTATAAGTTCTTTGTATGTTTGAATGGCGATAAAACATATAATAGTTTTATTTGTGGAAACACTAAATTTACATAAATTTACGTGGTGTTTCCACAAACAAAACTATTATATTTTCAACAGCTTGTTGACAACTAATTGCTACAAGGTTGTTGACCGAACAGACTTGGTACAAGTTGTTCCAACGACTTGGTATCGTCCTGTTATTCAACAATTTGTGAGTGACAACCATGTAGCAACTTGATAAAATAACAACATTGTTACAATTTGTTGACAAGTTTGCTACAAGCCTGTTGCGAACACATCTTGTTGACAAGTTGTGAGATTTTTACGTGTGAACGCAAAAGTTTCTGATGTGAAAAAATGATGGCCCACAAACACATTCCTCAGCGGAAACTTCTGCAGAGGAGAGAAGGTATTACCCTCACACATTCTTCTTGAAATTAGCAGTCTGTTTGATGACTTCAGAACGTGCTCAGAAAACCTAACATTTTAACTTCAGCAGCTCGCAGAGAAAGCCATTAGTTTGAAAACTGGTTAGCCACGGCAACTAGTCATGCTATGCTAATAAACCTGTGTCTAAATAGGTTAACATGAATTGTTGCTATGGCTAGCTTCGCCACTGGTTTTGGTCGCACAATTTCGATCAATCAGATTGCAGGAAAATCAATAAGAGATGTTCTTTGCTTGACCTCTAACGAGAACACTTTAGAACTGATAAAGCTAACATGCATAAATAAAATTAGTTGAATTTAGATTTCCTCCTACGAACGTTAAATCAATAAGAAACAGCTCTCACTGGACATTTATGAAAAGAACTGCTTTGAGCTGATAGATGTCGTTAGCTATCACGTTATGTAGTTGGCAATAAACCCTTCCGGAAAGTACTTAGTCGTGACTACAGAGCCTCGCTTCCGTGTTTGAGACATTGGCTTAAGAGCCCTTTATCTTGTTACTGAATAAAAAAAATAATAAACAGGTCTTTTCTATTCATTGATACTGTATAATGTATGGTTTCATATAGGTGTCACCTGTAACAAGATAAAGGGCTCTAAGAAAACTATATAAATAAATAAACCCAATATCGCAATCACGAAGACAAGGCTGAACACATGCGTGTATTGTCTGTGTGGTCAGCCAAAAACTTCTTACCATACAGGTGATGACAATGAAACAGCCTCGTTGACTTCCAATGATTGGCCTGATGAATTTGTGATAACATTGAAACCAAAGGCATACTGGGGCACCATTTTCTGTGCACAAGGCAATGGCACAAAGCAATGTGTTGGGTACGGCAAAAAGCCAAGTTTTAGAAATAATGGAATATTTCTGGACGTCTATCGTCATGACCCAATTGAAGAATACATCATTAATTATATTGAAGTCAAAATTTTTGCCAACAGTTGTTAGACATTGGACATGATACTGTGACTAAAGATTTATACGATTAACTCTGTCATTTTGGCATTGTCTTTTTAATAAACACTAAATTCAGAACACTGTTGTATAATTGTCGTCTTATTTAGAATACATCACATATGTCACAAATACCATTTTTCCCTCAAAAATATGTCTTACCTGCGACGGATAAATACTTCCAGAGATATTTTAGCTCAAACATGCCAAAAAATAGAGTTTCTTAAAACGTGGCCGGGAGAAAAGGGTCTGAGTACGAATCGCCGCTGTGACGTCAAAGAAGTAACCAAAATATTTCATAACATGTGTTTATAGCAAAACAACATGCCTTCTCGCTGCGTCGTATACGGCTGTTCCAACCTCCCAGACCCCGAGAAAGGTATTAGTCTTCATAAAATACCTTTCTATAACGATTCAAGGCCGGAGGCTATAAAAAGACGAAAGGTCTGGGTAGATTTCGTGAAGAGCAAACGTGCGAAGTGGGAGCCAGGCAGTGGAAGCCATATATGCTCTAAGCATTTTAAAGGGGACGCTTTTGACAAAATATTGAATAACTCGCTAAAAGCATCCCCACGAGGCTACTGCTATGCTAAATTTATCTAATAAACTATAATTGAAATAGCTGTAAAGATATGTTACGAATAATAAGCACTACGTCGTTACATCATTAAAAGACGCATTTTACCCTCATCCGTTCCGTATTTTATCCGCATATCCGTTCCGTGGATCCGCTCCATCCATTTTAACCTATTGTGACATGTTTCACCGATAACAAGTCTCATTGACCTTTGACTTTTCCCAGTGTCATGTTGTGTCTATTTTCAGCTTTTCGCATGTGTTGAATAATGTCACTTTAGATTTCAATAGTTTCACAATTAAGCAGTGTTTAAAGCATTTTTGACAAGCTTTGATACAGTTCTGTGTACTACAGATTGATTCTCGTAAGATCTGGTAGAGTTATCGTTGCACTGAACACGAGTTTGCACCGTTGACAACGGCGTTGTGCTAGACAGTAAACAAAGACAAGGACAAGGTCCGTGACGGTACACGTTGGCTATATGTACCTCCTTGCTTTTTTCTTCTATTGCATAAAGCTTGTTGGCGATTTCGCCATTTTCCTCATGCTCCCATGAAGCTTTTGGCATCGAAAATTTACATAGGGCTCATAAATATCGACTTTTTTCGTATTGTTTTGCACATTTTTTTTGAAATTTCACGCGATACTACATTTACAACAGTGATCGAATCTACCCATTGGAACGGTATCTTGAAAGGTAAGCGTTATTTTCCAGTTTATTTTGACCTCTCACTTTAGGCGCTATGCCGTCGCGATGTAATTTAATGGCGTTTCTGTCAACAATCTTTGAAGACAAAAATCTCAAATTTCCACGGTTCGTTTTCGCTATTTTTTTCACGATTAGTTAAACAAAAGTATAATCTTTGATTCTATCCAGCGGCCCCCCTCGGTCCCGCAACCGTTTTCGAGATATTCACCGTTGAATACAGCCCTCTGTAAAATATGTTGCCTTGTCACTCAGATCGATAATGAACTGCTATACTCGCTTTTTTCTAAAGAAGTGTGATATATTATAGAAGTTTCGATATATTATGGATTATATATATATATATATTGCAGTTGAGTGTGTAAATAATTAAAGCCCTTCCGTAACAATATTTTATAAGTGAAATTTATTGTTTGCCTGATGTTTTAGATTTGAGATTCGTGATTTTGGCTGGATTCTATTTTTGTCAATGATTTTGTCTGCAATCATCATTAAATTTAATCGGTCCTTCCAATCTGTACAGACCTTCTGCATCTGCAACGGATCTCCGATGCTATGATTGTCTCTCCATCGAGTGACCAAAACCTTGTTCACCTTTCTGGTTAATATGTTATTGCTATGATGACTTCTGGATTTTCAAAACTAACCCAGCGACAACCAAAACAACTACTCATCCACCTGTTTCAAACAAATGCCCCACATATGCCCGACCCCTCTCTGGGGCTTAACATTCAGAGAACCACCATTTCTCAAACTTTACTCTGAATTAGTTGTGTAACATCATTACAAATTAAATACTGTTAAAAAAAGGCCAAGTGGGCCTTCACTGCTATAAAGGGCATTCTATCCAATGGCATCACACCAACATCTCCATGGCGTTGCAGCTGTTCTCCAAAGCATCTAGCAGTGCGATAAATCAGATTGTCTTTTTGACCAGCATGAAGTACAGACATAGCTTTGGCAACAAGTGGGAGAAAATTTTGAGGGACAAATTTAGCATCTAAACCAGGGTTAACTTTTACCAGCCATTTTTGAAACTGTACTATAACGGCATTTGATTTTTTGAGCAAATTTTCAATCAAAAACCCCCACTGTTAGGTAATAAATATTGGTCAAAAAGTTAGCCAATTGAAATAACATCATTTCTATAACTTGCTAAACCTAGTCAGTTACAATTATATCACAAAGTTGAACATCTGTCAACGTACACTTCTGCTCTTCCTTACCACTTGAGTCGCCCAGTCACCATGCACGTCGCTTTATGAAATTTTTTTGATAAAATCCTATTTTAAAAAGTCAACCCCATACTTGATATGCTGAACATAGACCTCTAAGATATCTCCTAAGATATCTCCCGTACCAGAGCCTCTGAACCGCGCAAAGGCCCTGGGTACGAGGTTGCCCAGGGCCTGCCCGCCCCATTTTTTAATATGGCCGGCTAGCCCTGGGTACGAGGTTGATGGGCAGCAAAGTTAGTGTCACTTGAATGCATATCCAGCCCTTATTTTGGCCTCTTGCTACGTATCAAATATCTTATCACTTAAATAGATCCTTCTCTGCTCTTTCTCCCATAAATTTCTGTACTCTTTTCGGCTCGAAAACACCTTTTTTCGACCAGCATTTTTCCTTAAACCCCCGTGCATGGCGCCCTGGGCAGACGCCATATTGAAATTCGATACACTTGAAAAGTTGGGTGAAAACCGCGGAAAAACGTCTGCGCATGCGTCAGCCTTACCTGTAATAGTATTGCGAACTTGATGAGAAGCTGTTCCGAACGTTTCCGAAGGCTCAAAATGGCGGTAAAAAGGAGTGACTTCATTGTGCGTCTTTACAGCCAGATTTCGAGCGCAAAAATAAACATGTCATTCTAAAAAACTAGGAATAAATACAGCCAGAAGGTTCAAGAAGTTGTATTGTACAAGAACATGAACTAAAGGTGATTGTTGACAAATTTATCGTCTGAAACATTTTGTTTATCAACTAAGCAACGACAATTTCCGAATTTTCGTTTGAGATACATTTCTTTAAAAAAAAACTGTGTCGCCAAATATAAAAAAATTTCGTGTTTACAATAATTAAACTTTAGGATTCATTCTACAATTTGAGTGGGTTAAGAAGTTTAACTTTTCGAGAGTTTTCTTAACTTTTGAGTTTGAATTTTTGTTTTGAATAATTCTGCAAAAATTTTCGAAGTCGTGTCCGTTAAAATCAACAATTTTTTACATGAATTTTATTTCATTCCATACTTTGAATGTCAGGACGCTTTCAATTAATGTCTAGTCTACCCATTTGCTATATTTTCTCGTTTGGTTTACTAATTTTTGACCAATTAATAAGCATGTTTTTGTTTTAGAAATTGATATTCAAATTCCCCGCCATATTTTCATAATTTGGTGCATGCGCAGACATTTTTCCGCGGTGTTACTTTTTGGTTATCGTTCCATGTTTCGCGCACCAATATAAGTTAGGGTTAGGGGTTAGGTATTAGGGTTAGGTTTAAGGTTAGGGATATGGTATGTATATAATACGTGTATGGAGGTATTCATTTAACTTTTCAGTACACTATAGTATCCATTACATAACGTTTACTATATTGGTGCGCGAAACATGGAACGATTACCAACTTTTTCAAGTTGATCTATGGGCAGAACGGATGCGCAGCGGGTGACATTGCCGCTTTAGCGTAGTTCACATAAAATCGTTAAGCAGTCGCAGACATATGCCGAATTTTTATATGAACGATCTGCTACGGATGGGGAAAGTTGAACCAAGTTCAACTTTCCCGATCCGTCGCCGATCCGGCCTCAGACAGTCTGCGCGAATCTGCATTTGTGTTCGTATAAAAATTCGGCACATGTCTGCGACTGTCTGCGACTGCTTAACGATTTTATGTGAACCAGGCTTTTAAGACACCAGTGAAAGATAGACAGCCAGATGACTAGCAGCCAAGAGCATACATTAAAAACTTGTACAACAACGGAGATAACCCTGAATGACGAGGAGCTAATTCAGCAAACGTCCAGGAAATTGAATGTTGAAGTCTGTCATGTTGTTCAGTCAATCGAACATTTGAGAAACCTTGAGGCTAGTAAGAGAAGAAGAGAAAAGGAAAATGAAGAAAAGACCAAGAGGAGGGTGAACATGAAATACAAGGTTTATGATTGCATTGATTTAGTGGTTTCCGGAAAGATAAACAGATTGTATTCTGCTGAGTTAGACAAATATTTAGTAAAACATCAATTAAAGCTGTTACAGTTCATGCCCTAAGAGCTGGTGCTAAGTGGTTGTTAAAGAGAAGCAGAACGTTTACAATGACAATTGGGAGTCAGATAATGAAAGTGACTCTGAAAGTACCATAGAAAGTGACTGTAGTAATGATGAACTTGACGTAGTGTATAAAGATTTAGATGATAGCACTGATGGTGGAAGAAGATGCCCCTCTGATAACAACAAGAAGATATGGTAGGACTGCAGGAACGTGGAGGCTTGGGAACATAATATGAACTTGTGAAGGTACAAATAATTATATTTGACATTTAGTTAGTGCACCGAATATGCACAGTACTGTTTATACTATAGTGGCCTAGCTTGTATAATAATATATATGTAAAATACTTGTATAATTTTGAAATTGGGTTGGGTAAAATAAAATTCAAGTCATGCAATAGTTGGGTAGGGAAAAAATGGTTGATCGATAGGGTGGGTAGTTGTTTTTTTTTCTCTTTTCGATTAGTTTCTCTTCGGTACCAACCCCGGGTATAAATAATGAACACTCCCTTTCTGTTTTGATATTTTTTACCGAATGGAAATATCGAACAGCGATACTGAACCGAATATACGAACCGGCAAAATAGTATTCCATTATCGACCTAGTTTTCTCAGGGTCTGTCGGCCGGGAGTTAAAGCTTTTAGAATGTACATATAACCCTCTGAAACCTGAATTCTTTACCTCCAACAATGGCCATATTGAAGCTCTAAACAGCTTCGTTGCCATTGTTAGGATATAATATGAACTTCTGAATTCCTCATTTCTGACACTAGTCATAAGCTAGCTACAATAGTTCCAACTATACCAGGTGTATAAAAAAAAATGAACAGATTTGAAATTGCTCTCAATTTCGCAAAATACCTATTTGTATCCGTTTTTATATATATAGCTTCTTCGGGTACTTATCATGTAGAATAATGAAAAAAAATTCTCGAACTCGAACCAGGGGGTGTGTCTTTTCCAACAAACTAAAAATGGCTCGCGCACAACATTTAAAAATTGTAATGATATTTTGAGTTAATAGATGGAACACTTGTCGGAACACATTTTCCATATATTAACTCAAAATATGATTACAACTTTTAAATTTTGTGCGCGAGCCATTTTTAGTTTGTTGGAAAAGACACCCCCCTGGTTCAGGGACGAAAGTAGCCCCTTTTAATTGGGGGGGGGGGGTTGTCTGCTAGAATTGCCCTGTGAAAGCCGTTGATGCCCTGCACAAAAAAAATTTTCGTCGACCTCCCCCCCGTCGCCAAAAAAATTTCGGTCAGTGTACCATTTTAGGGGTCAAAATTTTTTTCCGGATATTCAAGAAAAGAGAGTTAAATTAAAGGTAAAAAAAATTTTTTCGGACATACACCAGTTTAATTAAAGGTCAAAAAATTTTTATCGGACAAATTCCTGTTAACACATGGATTAAACCATATTTTTTTTTTACAATATCTGAAATTTAGAATCTCTCATTGCCCTGCCAATCCAGATGAATTGCCCTGCCAATCCAGCTTAGGGGGTGTCACCCCCCCCCCACACCTCCCTTAAGTTTCGTCCCTGCCCTGGTTCATAAAATTTGAGTTCGAGAAATTTTTTATTATTCTACATTATAAGTATCCAAAGAAGCTATATATATAAAATACCGGATACAAATAGGTGTTTTGCGAAATTGAGAGCAATTTCAAATCAGTTCAGTTTTTTTGATACACCCTGTAGTATGTAAATTTTGTAACGTATACTAAATTCAAGTTGCGATAATGGCGATATTCCGAATGGTGTACGAGTTTTCGAAATTGTGCAGAACAAAGGATCGTGGAACTATCGGGCACCATTCGGCGATTCCCGAGGTTTAACAACGCTCATGAAACTTTCAGTATAACATAGTGTCGCCGCCCGCGAACGGGCGGAGACACAAAAAAGGCTTTCAGTGGAGGGAGGATTATTTTTTTAAAAAATTAACAAACAACATTAGTCCCATGTCTTGTCGTGTACTGTTGACTGCCATTATTTCGAGGAACACGCGGGTTTGATTGAATCAATACTGGTAACTGTTCTTCATCAATTTGGTTGTCAAATGCTGTTCTATTTTCATGTCTAGAATTTACTAAGATGGGTAGGCGGTCATCTCTATTGTCTATTGGAGCTCTGGATACTATCTGTGTGATTCTGGGACGCGTCTTTCGTTTTCGTTTTTTACGAGGAGCTTCATTTGGCAACACGGGTTTCCCTTTTGACATACGAAACTGCACAATCAAACCAAGTATTGTTAAGGCGCCCCAAGCACCTGAAAGTATATAATCTAGAAGAAAGAGTTGAGTAATAACATCACAGGTATTTTGTTTCCCCCCGATCTCCCTTCTCCGTCTTCCCACAATTTTGGAGTTGTGTTCTAATTTTAATTGCCCAAGTAGGCCCTTCCAAGGTTAAGGACGCCATCGTGAACCTGTTATTTTCACCATTGTGTTTGCACCTTCTGCAATTCGGGAATTCTATTGTATTTGCACCCCTTGCACTATTGTGTTTCATTATGGCGTCATTAACCTTGGAAGGATCTATTCCAAATTAATCATAATCATTTCCTCATAATGAGATCCGAAAATTGGTACACCTATGGCAGTTAGGTTGATGTAAGAATACCTTTCTCACGATGAAGAATATCCGCCATTTTTGGGTGGCATCCAATTCTCGTTAACCAATGCAGACAATTAAAACAAGGTGAAAAGCAATTTTTCCAAATAAACTAATCATTTACAAAGCAAATTTACCATCATTTGTCCAAAAAATTATAAAAAGTCGCTGTTATGTGGACTTATCTCGCAGACTTCGGCTGAAATGCCACCCAAAAAATGGCGGCGTCAGAAAGGCTAATTGATTCATTCATGATTTAATGTCTCGGTGATCATAAATTAAATACCCATTTTCGAAAGTAGCGCAAAAATGTCTGTTAGTCCGAACTGCAGGGGTGAAGGATCGATTGATAGAACTTGTACGACCCAAAGTAACAAGAATCTTGTCAATTTTGATTTATTGATTTATCATATATATTTATTTAATTTTTCAAACTCGTGTTGAGAATTATTGTGAGAAATGCATAATAGGTGGTGATAGTCAGTGTGCACGGAGGGCATTTACACAAAAGAATCTCAATATACTTGCCCTTTCATTTCCTTTTGTATTAAAGTTTCGTGGAAACATGCAATAGTACATCATACAATATGGGACAAATTCCGACATTTGGCAAACAACCACACTGTAACAACATTTGATTCCTGAACCCACAACTTATATGTCAAGACAGATTGTTTTTTTTCCCTGTAGTTCCACTCTTAACGATTTAAGGTGGCTCAATACAGTTTTTAAAAAATGGAAAATTTACGATTTAGATCCGTATTTTTGGACAATGACTACTTGTCGAAAAACAAAGAGGGCCTTATATATGTAATATCATAGTTGCCTCGAAATCCTTTGTCTCGCGAAGTACGATTAATCACTAATTTACCTCATTACTAAAACATGGAGTAAAATTAGAACTAATTTTACCACGGGCAAAATTGATTAATGTCCAATACCCATGCAAGATGTCCGATGGAAAAATCAAAAGGCCATTGGACATTCCATTTGTCAAATGGACCTGGAAATGTCCATTGGAGTTTTGTGTGTCCATTGGATCCAATGGACAAGTGGAATTTCCATCAGACATTTGCTTTTTCAGTTGGTCAATTACCATGTATTTGAGTGACGTAATGACAAGCACATGGACGTCATGTACATACAAGGCCAGTGAGATAGCCAAACGAAAGTGTCCATTGGATCCAATGGATCCAATGGACCTGGAAATGTCCATTGGAGTTTTGTGTGTCCATTGGATCCAATGGACAAGTGGAATTTCCATCGGACATTTGCTTTTTCAATTGGTCAATTACCATGTATTTGAGTGACGTAATGACAAGCACATGGACGTCATGTAGATACAAGGCCAGTGAGATAGCCAAACGAATGTGTCCATTGGATCCAATGGATCCAATGGATCCAATGGACCTGGAAATGTCCATTGGAGTTTTGTGTGTCCATTGGATCCAATGGACAAATGGAATTTCCATCGGACATTTGCTTTTTCAGTTGGTCAATTACCATGTATTTGAGTGACGTAATGACAAGTACATGGACGTCATGTAGATACAAGGCCAGTGAGATAGCCAAACGAAAGTGTCCATTGGATCCAATGGATCCAATGGACCTGGAAATGTCCATTGGAGTTTTGTTTGTCCATTGGGTCCAATGGACAAGTGGAATTTCCATCGGACATTTGCGTTTTCAGTTGGTGAATGACCATGTATTTCAATGACGTAATGACAAGCACATGGACGTCATGTGAATACAAGGCCATTGAGATAGCCAAACGATTTGTCCATTGGATCCAATGGATCCAATGGACACCGTGTTTTCCGTTGGAAAAATATTTGTCAGATGGATCAAATGGGCATGTGATTTCGCGTGCGGGCATAATATTGCTGCAGCAGTTAGCGAATAGTGGCGCAGCATGTGGAAATATGCAATCATACTTGTTTTGAGTATTTTTTTGCTTCTTGTTAAAGTGTGTAAATCTACATAATTAAAATTACAAGTGAATATTATTGCTACAGACTGACATATATATTTGAGGTTTGGGCGAAGGTTAATATTAGTAAAAAACCTTCTGCTGCTTGGCCGTTTACTACATTGTCAAAAGCCACGCAATTCTATCCGACTAGTATTAAAGATTTTCGTTTGCACTTTCGTTCGCGCGTACTGACTTTGGCTTAAAACACATTAAAACATTTTAAAGATGTTGTAGTCGTAGACGCGAAAGCAGGATTCAAAAGGGCAAGTGATTGATTCGTGCGTGCATATTGTCGGAGCAGTTAGTGCGAATAGTGACTGCTGGCATATTGAAATATGTAATCATTCTTGTTTTCATTCATTTTTGCGTTCTTGTTAAGTTTTTATTTTTCTACTCGCATTTTTAGTGTAAAGGTAGAGAATAGGAATTAGCATTTTAGTAAAGCCGCTACAGAGTATATTGGGCAAAGGTTATAAGTTTAAATTTATAAACACAGCAGCATGAAACATGAGGCCGCCGCGAAATTCTATCCGACTAGGAGTAAATTACATTTTCGGCGTTTCCATACAGTCTTGATAGTATAATTATGAAACATATATGTCGTGCGTGGTGACTTTGGCTTACGTTAAAAATACGTTGAAAAGATTTAAAAATGTTGGATTTGAACACAAGCTTTCGACTGTGGAAGAACTGTGAAGAAAACTGCACTGGCAGTTCTCCCTGGAAAGTTTGTATTGATACATTTTTAATTCATTTCTTCTTGGTGGCAGCAGCACTGACGAAACTGAGCAGTTTAATAGTAGCGACGACGTTGGCAATGACCAAGGACTAGTTTTTACCAATTTTGACGCGATGTAAGATGAGATGTTATACAATTACGATCATAATTTGCATATAAGTTTGGCATAGGAAACGAAGTGACTGTCAGTATAACACTATTGATATACTGATATGTTGTCATGGATTATGGTGAACGTGTAAGATAGGAAGTATTTATATTTTGCCGACACATGCATGTATCATCATATGTTATTTCGCCATACGACCTTTTTATCTTTTATTAAGTAAAGGACAGAAAAAATCCTTGGGCTCCTTGCAGCAACTGCCACAGAATTGCAAATTCAAATTATATACAAACCACATGTAATTAAAAAATTCAGTTATTATAGCCTTTACATAAATAGCTAGACGGATCTATCGCTTTGACAGTTGACCTGAAATTCGAGTACGTTCCATATAACTGATAGATTTGTGTTGGAAGAGTAACAAAAGTGCAAGACGTCTTTAATTTCTGCGTGAAAAACTAATTAGTCTTTGTAAAAACTAAAAAGTCGTGGCAATTAATAAGTGCTTAATATACAAGCAGCGAATAAAAAAAGAACATAAACCCCCCAAAAATCTGTTTGAGTGGGTTGGATAATGATGAGGCTAATGTATCCGTGTCGAACATCAATACTTGCCTTGAATGCATGTCGCCTGTTATGTTTGAGTTTTGGCGGAACTGGGTGAAAAGTCGTGTTTCGCGCGTAAAAAGTCTTGCGTAAAAGTCGTAATGAGTCGAAAAATGCCATAAATTTGCGGTTTTCCCTAAAAAGTAGCCGCCTGCTCTCAGCCGGAATGGGCGCTGCTGAGGAGGCTAGCTAAAAAAAGCATTTTAATTTGTGGAATAATTTCTGTTCAGTAAAGAGCATCATAAGTGATGTCCAATGCTCAACTGAATATTTAAAATGCAATGTGTGAAGCCTGGTTTTTACTGGCGACATAATAATATTATAAGCAAGACAAAAAAAATCCTTACAATTCGCTTTTTTCTACCATATAGGTAGCTTATAATACACTTGGAGTTGTGGTCAAGTGTCGATGCTTATTCAGCACTTCACTGCATTTATTCGTTGTGCATTTTCAACGCAAATACGCTTGCATGCATTGTTATTGAACCCTTTTATAGGGTTGATAACACAATTAAACTTTAGTATGGAATATAAGCCATAAGGTAATATATCCAGTTGGTATATACACCTAAAAATATGCGATAGGCTACATTGAAATTGTTGTGTGGGAAATATATTAATTCTTCAACAAACCCTAGAATATATTTATATATGTCCATCCTCATATCTAAACCATGCATTGAGATTTGAGAAAACAACTAATAGAACTTTACGTTCGAAATGAAGTGAACTACATATAGGCAGAGCGCAAAAAGATGTAAAGCCTATGCCGGAGGCAATTAATTAAAGGAAACGTTATAATTAACTGCATGATAACACGTCGTATTCTGACAAAAAAGTCGCCCATTCACACACTGCCAAAGACTTTGTGACTTTATAGTCTGTTCCCACGACGGTTATACTGCATGTATCTTGCGCATCGATCAGCGGTAGTTTTAGCAGCTTTGACTAAAGTCCTGTTTACACTACAAGCCTTGGTAAATGTGCCGCGTTTACACCCTTATATTATTTTTTTTGAGACTGGCTGAATTTGGTCTAGAATTTTGTAATAAATTTTGTGTATTTATATGTGTTGCCCGTTGTCCGCTCGTCCGATAATATCTCACTGTGCCCTGTGGACACACGTTGCCATAAAAACAAGGCCTGGGCCGTAAGTGTTTACATTCCCACAAGCGTAAGCCATGCCTAGGTCACCGGTTGTAGTTGCCCAGGTTTCCTGGCTATAGGTCAGGCCAAGACTAAACCAAA